TCAGGCAGAGCCTTCCTCCCGGCTCATACCTGCCTCTGCCTCATGTCTGTTGTCCGGCAGCTTCATACCTTCTTCTGTCCTACCCTTGTCCACAACATCAAAGCACACATCAGCTGGTGTGACCCTCTCTGCTCTCTAAAGCTTTGCTTTCACTTGTTTGCATTATGTACAGGGAGTTCTTCATTTCCACTACTGATTTCTTTTTTTTTCCGGCAGCTTCATACCTTCTTCTGTCCTACCCTTGTCCACAACATCAAAGCACACATCAGCTGGTGTGACCCTCTCTGCTCTCTAAAGCTTTGCTTTCACTTGTTTGCATTATGTACAGGGAGTTCTTCATTTCCACTACTGATTTCTTTTTTTTTTTTTTTTTACCCAAATATGACAATTCTCCAGGCTGAGGTATTTTCTAGGCTTATTAACATCTGGAGCATCCCGGGGTAAAATCACCCAAGATACAGCTCTCCCTTTCTGTGAGATGCTTCCAGTTGCGAATGTGCCTCCAGTTGCCACGAGAAAAGGTGGGTGAGTATATCCTTTCAAAACCAATGCCAAAGACGTGGTGCTCAAGCGCTGTGTCTGTAAAAGGTTAAACCAGTGTTTTACCATCCCCGTTCTTTGTTGCTTGTATCGGTTGGGTTTGGGTTTTTTTTTGTTCTTGTTGCTGCCATGTTACTTTCTCAGCTGAGATTGGTAAGGCATATTCAGGTGTATCAAAACAAATGGATAGTCATCTAATTGTGTAGTAAAAATTGTTGGTTTAAAGGAGAGTGCTATTAAGCGCTATTATTGTTAACCCTATTGGTCGTCTTCTAAAAATTACTTGGAGAGAGATTCGAATAAAGGTCCACGCGTTACCACGAAAGGACTCTTGCAAGCTCTGCTCTGGTTGTTATACAGTATATCCACTAGAGGTCACGGTTAGTCATTTTTCTCTGTTCATTTAACTGAGAAGACAAAAAACCCACCCTAACTCCAGTTACAAAAGGTAGTAAAGCATACACGCCGGCGTGTTCTTCCCCAGTAACGTCATTTGTGATCTCTGTTTAGTCATTCGGGTGTCTGTTACCTGGAAAGGTTTTTTGCTTCCAGCAGCTGCGTTCAGTTAATGTATCCTGGCTGCCTGTTAATTTTCTAAGCAACAAACACGATTTTAAACCTCTTCCACCTTTCTTTGATGTGTATGCTTCCGTAATTCGTTCTTTCAGGAACAATTACTAGAATAACTTAAAAAAATTAAATAGCAAAACCTGACTAGAACTTTGGTGGCGATGATGAGTTATCCAGGTGCTTCTGGCTTTGCAATTTGTCACGCTTCCCGCTCCCTGCCTTTTAACCCCCTTCGTTCCTCCTAGGGAGATTGCAGAGGAAGAGAAGACAGGACAAATAATATGGCCTGAAGACATGCGATTACTAACTGTATAGAAAGATGGGTAGGCATGTAAGTTCTAGATATCATTTCAAGATGAACAAAGCTTTATGTGCTGTGCTGTGTTGTGAAGCTGTGTGGCAGGACAGGTGAAGTGCTGGGCTAACAAGACTTCGTTTGTAGAGTGCGTCGCTTGACGAAGCCTTGTAGGTTGATTTGATGCCTATTTCTGGTTTTTAATTTCTTTTAAATATAGAGTGCAATGATCTTCTTCAGAGTGGCAGCATCAAACTTTCAATGTAAGCAAAGCTAACCTGACAACAGCGATGTTTTCTTTTCCTCTGTAGTCTGGCATGGGCAAGTTTAGTTATTTCAGTTGCAATTACTGACTTTCAATTTAATTGAGGAGATTTGATCTAGCGAGCTGGTGTCAATACCTGTAAACAACGCCTTCTTGCACCAGCAGCAGTAATTTACTGGGAACAAAACGTTGGATTTTAGACAGGTTTTGTAATTTTTCGGTAAATGTTCTGATTTTTTTGGCATTTTGAGATTGGTTGTCCCATCACAGTTGTGAAGTAGCCGGTTTATACTAAGTTCGTGGTAATTCACATTGTTTCATGGGAATTACTCAGAATTTACAAGTGTCAGTTCAGTGGTTGTTGTGGTATATCTGTCTTATTTTCCAGGAAACTTCAATGAGCGTAACTTTTTTTTTTTTTTTCTGATGTTGAATTTTGTGACTGAAAGTCTTAAGAAATTTGAAAAAAATAGAATGGAGAGCCTGAAAGAGACAAAACACTTAAGACTTTGTGTGACCGTAAGCAAAACACTTAGAAAGGTATTTTTCTTAATATATTACTAGAGGTTATTGGGGGGGGGAGGGTGTAAAGTGTGTTTGAAAGTTCCACCTGTCCTGATTTGAAATGTGATACCTAATTAGTAAAAAACAAGTGAGCCAATAAATCCATTTAAATAAGTCAACATAGAAATTAGTAAAACATATTCAACCTGTATGTTAAATGGTAAAGTATGAGGCATAAAGTGAATCTTTAGAAGGACTGAGCTGGCTAATAATCTAAAATATAATAAAGACCCCTTTCTAGTAGTTGAGTTCGGGTGGTTGGGGGGGTTGGTTTGGGGTTGGTTTGGGGTTTTATGATCTAGAGATACACGCTGGGATGTTGAATCAAAGCAATTACTCTTTTCCTGGTGTTATAGTTGTTATCATTTGCTGCCCAGGAGGAACTTCACAATTAATAGTCATTATGTAAAAATAGCTTACTTTGTGTCAACATTTATTTTCATGGCTTTGCACTGTGCTATTGCATCCTAGGGGTACTTAATGAACTTGAAATATTTTCTACAGTTTCCAAATCTTTCTGGCCCCGCGCTGAGACCGTTGCTCTGTGTTTTGAGTGCAGCTCTAGGGTTGCATTTTGAAAAGGGAGTCTTTACTTGCATTTTGTGTACGAACAAAGTGGTATATTTTGATAGCAGGCATTTTTCTTAACTCAGGATGAGATTCTGTTCCTACTGATATAGCTACGGAGTGTGGTTGACTTCAGTGCAGGCAAAACTGGCTTTTGGTGGGGTGTCTTCTGTCAGGAATCTTGGTTATTTTTATGACCACAACATGGAGGAACTTTAGCTGTGGACCAGGTTGCCATGATGATAGACTTGTACACACAGAACAAAAAGATCTTCCTGGCCAGGGAGCATACAGCTTGTGACATGTAGAACTGTGGGGGGAGAAACCACAATGCTTTTTGGTATTAAACATACTGCATTTGGCCATATCTATCTTAAATACTTGAAGAGGCAATACATACAGACTAGAACAAATGCTTCAAAAGGTTCTGCGTGCACAGATGGACTATCATTTGCATTTATGTTTAGTTTAGGTCTTGGGGGGAAAAATGGTTTCCAATAGATGTTTTTTTTCTTTAATCAAACTTCTCCGCACCAAAGCCCCTCTACTTCAATGTGATTTGTGGGCTACGCAGAAAATCTTTCAGGAGATGAGCCGATTACCACATATAATTACCAAACAAACAGTCTGACAGATGCGGTTTGGATTGTCAGTGGCACCTGACATAAGAGTACAAGTTCCCTTGTCACTGAGGCACTTAGAAAAATCTGAATAATTTTGAATATGAATGTTTCTAAAAGTGGATGAATGACATTTAGTAGGGAGCTGGGTATTCACATATATATACATGTGCACAGAATACAATCTGTAGTTGACACTTATAATTAGACTAACTTATTTCACAAAACATGCTAACAATTTGGGAAAACTGGCTATGAACAATTAAGATTTGATACTGGAGACCTGATGTATTCGTAGGTCAGACTGTGAGCTTTTTTTAATGTGAGAGACAACTGCCTTCTCTGTTGTCCTTCACCTCCTTGTTGAGAAAATCCCAGCAAAACTTCTTGTACCTGATGCTGGGCTAATTATTGAAGGCTACTAAATTTCAATGACCATTGAATCAAACGAAGCCCTCTTAGACAGACACGGTTACTAGCTAGGGTAAACCAGTTTGTCACATCTGGGCAGGCAGATACAAAGCACAGAGAGAAGGACGTTGCTTGCCTGAGGAAGGTGATTAGAAGGAGACTTGCTAATGGGGAATTCAAAGGCATGAACGTATTCTCACAGGAGAGCACAACACAGGAATGTATTGTCACACCAGTCAGATCCTTTTCTAATGCCTACTGAGGGGAAGGGAAACTGTTTGCAGAGAAGACAGAGAGAAATACTGGGATTTGGAGGAGCCGTGTGTGTGGGTGAATCCAAAGTACGCTCTCAGGAGAGGAAAAAATGAACATTATTCTGTCATGATATTACATTTTTATGCATTAGCTAACGTGAAGAGTTGCTGGTGTGCTTTTTCTGTAGTGTTTTCCCCCACACCTTGCATCCTCAGCAAAGACTATGAGCTCAGTTCCCTTGCCTAAACTTACATGAGTTAGTGCCACTTGAGATACCCTCCATTGTTCCTGTCCTCCACCTGCAGCTCCAGTAGTGCAAGAGCTTTCTATGTCCCGTCCATCAGCCCCCGTGGATGTCCCGTATGCCATACAGGTGACGCTTCATGCCTGCGTTTAGGTAATTGAATTGAGCCCTAGGCATTGTTGAAGAACAAAACTGGAAACTTAGAAGTTGTGTTGGTTGGGATTCGGGGCAGGTGCCCCGATGAATCACCCGTGGCCTTTGGGAAGGGAATTCAGACAGCTGGGGACTTCTGCAGAGCCACTGAAGGCAGCACACGTAGCTGTGCCTGCTCATTTAGAGGAGGTGATAAGCCTGGAGGTCTAATTAGGTGAGACTTAACCACAGTGAGCTAGTGTCCTGTAAGTAGGGGTGTACTGAATTTGTGGAAAAAAAATTTCTAAAGAGAAAATTCTGGAAATATCAGTTAATTTCTCTTATTTCTTAGTGAGAAATAGTATACTTTTTCAATTTATGTATCGAAGCTCTTGGTGGAAGGAGAGGAGAGTTAGAAACTTGTCTTGCTATTACACTGCTCTAAGCTTCAAACTTCAGAGGAAATAAAGTTAAATATGGCATTTTTGAAAACCCTTTCACTTCTTTCCTGATGAATAGGGGAAATATTACCATCTCAAACATTGCTCTTCTCAAATGCTGAGTGTTAACAACTGACCGCTCCACTGTACTAAACTAGAGGAAATTATGTAGAATCGGGTCTTGTAAGACTTCAGCATACAAAATTCAGTCACTTTGACCCCTTGCATGCAGATTTTTATTTGTAAAAAGAATTATTAATCTTTTTAGTCTAACCCTTATACCTTCTTCCAGAAGTCCCAGAAACTCTTCCTGTTGACAATACCAGCTTATAAAAATGATCAAGCTTGCTAACTTAGATAAACGTTTGCATAGCTATTTAAAACTTAAAGATGATACTCAGGTTCTTAAAATACTAAATCTGAAGTCAAAAACTCATCCACTTAGAATTAATAAACCAGCAGTGTCTTGTGTTCTGTTCACAAATAAATCCTTTGATTCTGGGTGAAAATGAGCTCAAACCTCTCTGTAAAAAATCCTCTTTTCCTGAGCTTCTCGCAGCACTGGGGACTGTGGTGTGCTCGTATCCTTCCTCAGGACATAGGCAGCCGTGGTTCTGCAGTGCAGCGAGGTGTTAAAACCCTCGCATTATCGGAGCTTCAGGAACAACTGGAGCATAGCTCCATTACCATCCCAGGGAAGCCAATAAAGCCGCTCCAGCCTGAGTTCACCACGTAGGGTGTTAAATGGCAGCTTGCCTTTCGTGGCTGTGCAGAAATAAGCTAGAGATCCCTGAGTACTTTCTGTAACTTACCTGCAATCTATTGGGGAGGGCTCTGGCTTCCAGCAAAAAGGTTACATTAAACTGGGTTGCATGTAAGGAATTGTATACAGCTCTCCCCAGCTGCCTACATAATCGCTGTCAACGTCTAAGCAAATTACATAGATGTTCCCCTAGCTCAGTGCTGTGCCACTGGCACAAGTTAGTATCTGCTTCCAGGAACGGTAACTTCTCACCCCGTGCATCAAATCATTCCTTCCTAAATTACGCAAGAGACCGGATTATGTCCCGGAATTTGAAGTTAAAGTGATCACACCATTATCTCCATTACACAGCTAGAAATGTCTCTTACAGCCAGAATGAGTCTTTCTCTGCCTTCGTTTTACAAAGGTATAATACTCCTCATGATGGTATTTTCAGCAATGACTTCAAGATGTAACCACTGATGGTCTGGATCAAGTACAAATAATTGCAACAAAATCTACCGGATTGATCCAGTAGATTGATCATCTCTTAGCAAAATATCTGAGAATCTGGTTCTTGAGATTAAACAACTGCATGAGAAAGTATTTTTCTTTCTTTCACAGTGTAAAAATATACATTTGTGTGCAGTTTTTATGCTGTGTTGTTCTCTAAGTTACTATAGCTTTGTTTTGTGCAATTGCTGACTTAGTGATTATGTTTTTTTTTAACACTTTTTTTTTTTGTATTTCAACACACTTTTGTTTCTCTGCTGGCAACTGTAGATCCTACCTACATGCAGACCTGCCCCCACGTTTTAAGTCAAGTGTCACTAAAGTTACAGTCACTTCTCGGAAAGCTGCAATATGTTCACTAATTGTTCTTTTCTTGCTAATTACAGGAGGGGAAGGGAGACTCCCCACACTCTCCTGGGGGAGGGAGGAGTGGGATTCAGAGGAGTGGTTCGCCAGTGGTATCTCTCTAATGTGTGCTTAATCCATAATGAAATTGCAGTTGAAAAAGCTGAATTCCTTTTTCATCGTGGGATCTGTTAGAAAGTACTGCTGGTGGACTTGCAGAGCTCAAACAGTCACATCATGCTGAAATGCAAACGGCAAGAGGGCCACCTGCGTTGCTGTAATGGCCACTACCTCTCTGACTCAGCTACTGATGTACCCGCAGGATGTAAAGCTAATCAAGCGATGTTGGCAATTTAGACATCCCCTAATTTCCCTGCTTCCCATTGCGATAAACTGGAAATGAACTGCTGAGGCTGGAGTGACTTTGGCACAACTCTGCCATCAAGTTAGGACAGACTCCAGCCTGGATACAGCAGAAAACCAAAATTTTCCAATATTGATGACAAACCAGATCATTTCCTGGAAGTGATGGCTAAGAAACAAATTATTGATGCTGTCTGTAGACCTATGCAAATTTATTCTGATAAAGATCTTTGGTAAGTTTTCAGTACAACTGGGTCTTTGCATGTTAACCTGCCCAGGCAAGCTTATAGATGTGCTTTTCAACTGCAAGAGACAGAATAAAATAGATAGCACATTTCAGGTTCTAAATCATGTTTTCCTTTAATCCATGGAAGTTTGTTTGTTTTTTAACTATTGCCTAAGCTAGGCAGGAGACATCAGCAATCCTGAAATCATAGTAAGAAGAAATTTGTCCTTGTCTTTTCTAAAAAGCTTAGCATCATTTAGTGAGACACACTGCGTTGTGATGCACTTCAATGAATATGATATTGCCCGGGTTCTCAAAGGTGGGAAATTGTAGTAACAGTCACAGAAGCTTGTTTCAGAAGGTTCCTACCCTTAGCAGAAAGTCTTTGCCCATAGACTGCAGCATTCAGCTGGAGGAGCTTCTTTCTGTTTGGGGGTTTGGACATTTTTTTAAAAAAATATTTATTTATTTATTTGTATTTTTTGTTGTGGTTATATGCTGAAGAACACAAAACATGACCTTACAATCATGTTGCTTCCTTAATTTTCTGAAGAGTATCATTATCAGATCATCAACATGTTTTTCCCTCAGCAGGTTTAAATGTGACTCTCTCTCTTCTCTCTTTTTTAGAAATTTCATCTGTTTAAACATTTGTGCTGCCAAGCAAACTTCAACCTGGGAACAGGCATCTCATGTTTGCAGTGCCTTGTTTGTTTGATATATTTCCTTCTATAGTTATATCTTTAATTCTGAGATCTGTCTTTAATCACTGATTTTCTGTCTTCTACCTAACACTTTTTGTAATTCAAATATTAAAAATTATTTTTTCTTCAAAAGAGAAGAGGAATGGGGGAAAGAAGCTTTGAAAAAACCAAAAGAAACCCCAAAAGAGCCCAAAAATGAATAAAAATAAATAAATAAAACAAACTAAAACAACCCCAAGCCTCAAGTACTGATTAAATCATAGGATTGAAATCCTGTGCTTCTGTTTTCCAGGAGTCATACTGGGAGCCCTACTTTTGCGTGTCCTACTCAAGAAGTCATACATTCATCCTCTCTCTGTCTCTTGAGCCTCTTTCTAAAAAGAGGTTGGTGAGGAGTTGCCCACTCAGCCTGGGCTGTGGTCATCCATTCAAAGACGTGTACAGTTGCCGTGGCCTGTGTCCCAGCGGAAATTAGGGATGTGCCAAAGCCTGATGCTCTCTCTTCCTATTTCTAGAGATTATTTGGAAAATATTCCTTACAGTCTCCTTGACTGTGATGGTCAACGTTTCAGTGACTTCACAGAATGTGAAAAATACTCAGCCACTGCCAAATATGTAACCAGATTGTCTACTCATACAGCTGATTTTTACAGCCTCTTACATTTCCATTATCCCCAGAGGAGCGGTCCTTGAAAGCAGAGAGGAAGACAAGCTTGTGGAGCTCTGATTCCTAATCGCATGCTTTTGGGCGGCTTTGTGGTAGGGAACTTGTTGAGGTGTACTGGTATTCCTCCTCCCAGCGTGCCAGGGAGGTCTGGCAGACCAATTACCAACCTGAAGCGTGTGGTTTTCCATCCGTACTGGGAGCGGAGCAGATAGATGCACATTCTCCCTTTCATGGGGTTGGGCCTTAAAGATTCAATCTAATGGTGAATTTTGTAATCATATAACCAAGTTATCTTGCTTTCCCCGAGGCTGCTATTCCTGTGGATTAACTCAACAGTATTAATAGAGTTTTTCTGAATTTACAGTGGTGTGACTGAGAGTTAATCATGGCCCTGTATTTCTGAGTCTCTGTAGGCAAATAAAATAATAAATTTTAATTGCTAATAATGATGGCCTGCCTAGTAGTCCTGTATTCACTGTATTTAAGGATTTTTTTACTATGTAGATAATAAATTCCATTGAAAGGAATCTGCATTGCAGAAACTGTGACCATTTAGGTCAACTGGCTCAAAAGACAGACACTCTGAGTAACAGAAAAATTATTTCTCATAGACAAATTGCTTGGCACAACTGTTTGTGAGCATTAGATTCTTTGCCTGTTTTGTTGACATAAAACCAATCTTCTCTGTCTCCTACAACTGGAGAAATAATTCCATAGTAAAAAAGAAAATAGCTCTCGGGTTCCTTAAACCTCACAGGACAAATTTCAGCCTAGCATGAACTTTTACGGCCAAGTTATAAACCTTGGAACAGAGGCTGGTAATGGAAATAGTGATGGAGAAAATTTTAGGCTTATGAATGGTGACATGATGGATTCTCTGTGCCTCGAAGTTTTGAACTCGGAGAGGACTGCAAGACTGGTGTGTCTGAAATAGCAGCATTACCTTTTGCTGTTTAGAACAGCAGACTCCAGAAAGTGATTTAATACACAATTCCAGAAAGATCGTGAAGAACTGTTGTTGCTTTTGTCCTCTCTGGTGGGGAAATAACTCTGATGAAAGTGTAATGGGGTTTCCTGGTGTTTGTAGGGAACAGCTCATCCCTGAACAATGAAGTTCTTGAACTGTGCACTGCATTCAGAAACGTATTTGAATTTGTTAAGAACTAATACAGCAGCAAATATTCTTTTCAGTCCTTGTGATGCTTCCATCATAGAAATCTGTAGGTGAATAAGAAAGCTGCTCAGCAGGACAGTTTGTCTCATTTAAAAAAAAAAAAAAAAAAAGAGAGGCTTAAACTACAAGTTGATACTTTTATTTCTACATTTTGAGGAAAACTGTAAAAGGCCTTTAAAAATGACTGGTTACCTTTAAGTCACAATTGCTATTAAGCAGTGTACCTCTTCAAGTTTTAAAGGTAGAACTAACATTAACTTAACATATTCTATGCTTTATACACTGTATTAAGCTTGCTAAAGAGCTAAGGTAAAATGTCAAATTAAGTAGTGTAAACTCCATGGCATCCAGATTCCACCCTATAGAAGGCACCACTATGCCCCTGCCGAAACACCTTCTCCTCCTGCTTCTCCACTCACAACAGATCACTATGCTGTATTCAATTGTTTGTTAGAAAAGGTTGATAGCCAAATGAATAATGACTCATGTTCAGAAGAAAATATTCATCAAACAAGCGTAAATAACCTTCCTCATCCCAGAATGTTGGGCAACTACCAAAAAGGAACCCAATCAAAACCTGAAATCTTCTTAAAATATTCATTAAAAAATTCATATTCCCAAAGGCTTGACAGTCACTATGGCTAGGATATTTTTATTGCAATTGCCCCCTCCCTGTCAGTGTACTATTTTCAACTATTTTCATGGAGAAGTCCGTAGGAAGCTGATGTTACAAATAATTATTATAAGAACTTACATAGTACGCTCCAGCACTGCAAAGTTGGAGCATCTTTACCTGTATTGTACATTATGTATCTTCCAGTTGGTGTTCCTGAAAGCAGATGGCATTCAGCACCTGTTAGAACTGCAACCGCCAGTGATGGGTTGGGATGTTATTCACAGACCCAGCCTGCCCTCAAAGGGATCCAAGTCTACATTTGGGAAGAAGACCAGAATCTGGAAGCAGATGTTAGAAACATGCATGAGCAGCCCCCCTCTGTCTCAGAGTACAGAGAGATTTAGCAGCATGAGATGTGCTTATTTTCTCTCTGAAGTCTTCTGGGTGGTTTACATACACAGATGTTTGTACTTTGACCTGGCTGCTGATTGTTATTCTGGTGAAATTCAGGAGCTGGCTTCAGTGAAAATAGTCCTGAATAACTTGCTGCCTAGTTTTGGGTTTGGTTTTTTTTTTTTTTGGTTGTGTGTGTGGGTTTTGGGTTTGGTGCGCCCCTGTTGCTGTTGATATGCATTAGTTTAAAAACTTTTACAGAACCCTAAAGGGAACGTAGCTGTAACAGTATGAAAGGGGGTTATTCCAGCATCGCTTATTCTTATGTTTAGAAGAAGGAAAAAAGCACACTGTATGCATGTGAGCCCAAGACTCATTCCTTCTTCCTATGGACTGTGAAATATTTTCTGAGTTGTATGGCAGAGCCACTGGATCAAGGAATCTAAGTTATTTCAAAGAGCATATTGTAAATATGACTTCTTTAGTCATATTCTTCCTGAAGAGCAAGAACTTGTGTTTTTCACTTGCGGTTCTCCTCATTGCCAATTCCCTAGTTCAGAGTAGTTGGTTGGCTAGCTTTGAGGAAGACAGGGGAATGGAAACATTCAATTTTGGCTCTGTATGTGTGTTTGTTAAGTCTCAGCTATATGCTGTACTCTCGCCTCCCAGTGGAGCCTCATAAGGAGAAGAGGGGTGATGCACCCTGCTTTTTTGTTTATATTGAAATATAAATGGTAAGAACAACTTGTTAGTAAGCACATAAAATATTCCTTGCTATTCTAGACAATATTGTAGAATATTAAAACTCAGGTACTTGCTGACTGTTAGTCTCAGGTACCCAGATTTTACGGGTTTGCATCCCTAGCTGTAACCAAGACCCAAGCCGCAAAAAGGTCTAGTTGCAAAGGTTAAAGAATAGTGAGAGGCTCATCTGATAAACAGGGGCTGAGGGTACATTTGATCAATAAGTTGCGCTTTGGTGCTGCTTGCCTATAATCATTCAATCCCCAGAAAAACTGAACTGAACAGATGCTGAGTCCTTGACTTAAATTAATTCTGCTCAGCTGAATGTACTGTACTCTACTTAAATATGTGTCATTAAGCACCTTTGACAGCTTTTTAGCAGGTGTTTAGCACGAAAAATAGATCAGTTGAGAGAAAGGGACAGATAAAGAGTAAATCCAGTGTGGTGTGTTTAATGTCTATCCAGTATTACTGTGTTCAAGCCCAAAAGGTCTTCATTTAGGAGTGCTGCAGATCTATGCAACACTCCAGCGTCCTTCCAGCTGCTCTGATTCACAACCTCCCTTACATCAAAGATAACAAAGGTGTATAATGATATCCTCTTAGTCTTACCGGAGTCAGCCACAGAACTCACATTGACTTTAACAGAAGCAAGATATGAACCTAAGTCTTCCCTAAAACTGCCAAACAGAACGGGGTGCAAAACTGAATCCTAGAGCTGGAGGCTTTTTCGCCATTAGGATGTGAACTGCAAAATAAATCGGTAGCTGTAACAAAAGCTCTAGATGGGCAAATTTTCTTTTGTGGGTTTGTTTGGGTTTGGTTGGGGTTTTTTTGTTTGGTTGTGGTTTTTTAAATCTCGTTAGAAAATACGATCTTTACTCGTTACTGAGGTTATTATCAAAAACTGTGAGAGTTATGCACATGGAGTGAAAGAAATGCATTTCTTCCATATCTACTCTTTAGTAGTAGATTAATAATAAACCCTACTTTACCATGCCTCCCTCTTTCTTCCCATCAAACCTGTAGTATTATTTCCATTTGTAACAGAATGGTTTTTGTTAAAGCAAATCCAGCCAGAACAAGAAGACGGGTATATACAGATCTGACTGACTTTGTACAAAAAAAGTCCTTAATTCAATTGTATGATTCAGGGAAAAGGAAATTATGTATGGTGTCAAAGCAGTGCCATATGGTAAGCTATAGCATCTGTTTATATATTAGTATGATACTTATTGAAAAACCATTACTAAATATCTCTTTTTCACTGCCCAGTCAAATAATAATTTGTTGCCAGCCATAAGCACCATTTTTCTCTTCCCCTTGATTTAGTGGCATTTTACAACTTTAAGGTTCAGATTGAACATCTAAATCTGCAGACTACTGATAATTCACCAATTAACTTGAAGCTATTGTTTAAATCAAATTTTATGAAAATAGTGACATATTTAGCTAAGAGTCTCTTGAGAGATCTGACTCAGAGAGTCAATAAAAAAAAGCCAATGCTATTTCTGATGCCAAGAGAAGATTATTTTCTCTCATAAGAGGGTTGGGATTTTTTTCAGATTTATAAAGAATGGTACGGAAGCATCTATTGCAGATTGCACCTAGCTTCTGTTTCAGTAAAGGCGGCTAAAATTTTCTATTGTTTATGATAATAAACATTGAATTTCATATTCCTGTAAATGAAATTTAGAAAAAAATTCACACCATGTCTGTTACAAAATGGAAGTTATCTAAGGTTTTTATAAATATAATCATGAGTATTGACATGGAAAAGTTTTTCTTTGATAACTAATTAAGTTAATTAAGTTTTTCTTTGATAACTAATTAAGTTAATAATAATTCTGTTTCTGCTACAAATTCATTAATGAGGTTTTGTGAGCTATGCTGTGTCTTTGCATTAGTGTAAAAAAAAAAAAAAAGTGCCTGTACTTTTAACTGCCTGCGAACCATTCCGATCGATGTGCAGCTGTATTAGCTGGCATGTTCGTTCACAGTAGATGAAAGTGACTTTGTACAGACTACGTATTATTTTTGAGATGTGGGATAAGTCCGTGAACTACCAAAGTTCTCTGTGGCGGTGAATTACTCTCGGTGTAAGCAGGAGTTTAGGCTGATAAGAAATGATCATTTGTAGAGTCCTTTGTATTTTTTTTTAACTCTTTGTGTGGGTTACGTGCATGCAGCCGCCTTATTTGTCATAGCAAAGTTTCACTAGCAAGGGAACTACGTTCCCTTGGTGCAAACTCATAAACTTGAACTGCTCAATTTTTCCTGTGCTTCCAGAGCACCCATGCCAAAAAGAATCTCTAGGCTCAACCACTTTGAGTTAGGCAGGTCCTGTAAGCATGGCCCAAGGATGGGAAAGTCTAAATGCCTTTTTACTTTCTGTTTCATCGGCATGAGGGTGAGTCTCCATGAAAGCTCTACAAGGAGCTGAGCACCTTTTACTAAGGTTCAAGCAAATCTCTTCTCCAATGCTTTTGTTGATTTCAATATGATGTTTCTACCTGGAAGATCCCAAAGTATTCCATTCTTAAACAAGTATTCAATTCTTAAACATACTTCTATCAATATAGACCTCTGAATTTTAATCAGTTACCTTAAGCAGGTAATTTACGAAGACTTGTCTTCGGTACTGGTGTCTTTTGTGAGCAAGTTTGTGGGGGTGGTTTGGTTGTTTTGGTTTTGAGTTTGTTGTTGGGTTTGGGTTTTTTTTTGTTTTTTTTTTTTTTTTGTTAGATTCAGGCTTCTGTTAGCTAGAGAAGATGCTGGGCTGGAACCTTTGAAATTAAGTTCTCTGGACACAAACCAGGATGTTGCATGACAGCTGCAAGGGAGGTTCCCTTATTCTGCTGCTTTCTGGAGTGATAAGGTTGTCAGAGCTCTTCGAAACTTTCATCTTGGCTCTGCAAGAGTGGGAAAAGAGCACTGATGGTGAGGAGGTTTTGTGTCTGATGCAAGAATCCTTGAGGATTTGTCCTAAAACCTCTGAACTACTGTGAACAGCCAGAGTTCTGCCACTGGCTGAACAAAACATTTGGTCTCTGAAAAGCTATCGGGAATTAAAAATGAAAATTCAGGAATAAAATTCTCTGATAGCACATTCCCATTCCCTTTGTCCAACAAATTCCACACATGAGAAAGAAGCCTTAAATTGCCTATGAAGAAAAAGTGAAACATTTTTTTATTATTCCTAATGAAAGTGTTTCATCATTGCATTTTTTTAAATACAGTAAGAAAATTGTATAGCTCCAGTCGGCTTAATGGGTATTTAATATACATGATTTAGATGCATCTGACGATGACAAAGTGAAAAAGCCAATAAAGAGGGTGTGGCCTGGACAAGTCAATATGCACTGTATTTGGTAATACCATAAAAGGTCCTCAGGCTGCCCTGGTCTCGGTGCCTCATCTCCAGCTCCTTCAGTACTGCTGATCTCTATCACCGTGGGGGCAGAGGGTGAGCCTGGACCAGGGAACTGGTCTATGTTTTTAAATGATCCTTTGTCCTCTATTCTTTTCTTCTTGGCTATTTTTTGGAGGCGTATGAGGAGGAATGATGGGCTGCTTAGGATGGCACAACAAAAAAAGTTGTGAAATGAAGTTCTCAGGTAATCTGTGTCTCTAAGAGGAATAATCTATTTTGCAACTTTGATTTAAGTTGCCACAGAAATGTGTTTTCTTTCAAAAAACACAAGGAATCTCAGTCTGTAGCTGAATACAGTTCATTTACCAGGTTAAGACAAAGCTCTTATCTGAACTTTTTTCTCAACAATGTTGAGGTTGAAACAAGAGTTTTCCATTATATTTCATTTAGAAAAATGCAGATGTTTACATAACTTTAATTTTTCCCATTCCATGCACTGAGATAGCACAGGAAATAAACTGTATCCAGGTTTTTGTATATGTTGCACCAAAGCAAAATGTACTGCCAGTCCTGCAACTTGGTACCCAACCACCGCTAGTTGTGCCCACTACCTCCCTCAGCTTCCAGCAGTGACTCCAAACTATGCAAATACAGCAACATAACACTGTACAGTATCAGGTTGTGCTGTCCGTGCCTATACAAACCATGTCAGTGTGGATAATAAGGCCCAGTGATTCAGTACTAAGGTATATGAACATCATTCTTTATGTATCTGGTCTGTCATGCATGCCTTAGTCAGGCAATTAAATGAAGGGTGGGATTTTTTTTTACCATTTTCAGGCTGTAAACCTAAAAGGGCAGGCTGGGACCACGGGCTTTCCTGGGCTGCTCTCTTGTGTTTTTGAGAGGCAAATTCTCTACCTTCTGGAGCTGCCTTCCTTTTCCATAGGCCATGTCTTCTGATGATGGAAGTGATGGTCTGTTTCTACCAAATCCGCTCCTTGCTGGATGAGGGCACATTGTATGCTGCAAAGTGTGGGGAATGCCTCTAATGTCGCAGTGCAGACTTACACTGAGGAAAAGACCTTGGAGGCATTTTGTTTAATTGATAATGACTGTGACAAGCCAACTATTTGAATTAACTGTTCTCTTGCCTTGAAAGTTTAACCTGTTTCATTTACCAAGCAGTAAAAATAACACACCATTTAACTTCTAGCTGTTTGAATTTAGGTCTCTGCTAAGACGGTGGTATTGTGCCTCTAGAAATAACCAGCCGGAGAGAGAGCTGCTATTTCCCAAGGAGTTTCTGCAGACTTTCTTTTCAGCCCCCACAGATGTTCCTGTCGGGAGACAAAATAGAGGACGATTTCTCATTTCTTCCTTTCAATGCATGAATGTGTTGCTCTTTATTAAAGACAACTAAATCACTGTGAGTATCGTATGCCAGCTTCACATATTTCAGGAATTTGGTACTCAGTTGTCTGACACAGTCACTCGGTAAATTAAAAGTGCCCTAAAAGTGGAAGAAATCTTAACCTAATAGTCCTAGAGTCACTTAAAGGGGGAAAGGGAGGAGGGCATAGGACCATTTGAAACACCAGGGAAGCCCATCCTCCTAATCAACGTGTTTCCCTGCAGCTCAGGATGAAGTGAAATGTTAGTTTGGTAATGCTCAAGCTAGAAGCGTGAAAATCCAGGACACGAAACAAGTAATACATCATCATCTTCCTTGCAAGAAAATGATAAAAAGCGTTTCTCTCCCAAGGAAGCATTCCACAGCAGGATCAATTTGTTTGTAAAGTGTATAGATTGTTTGCGATGCTGTGAACTTCGTATAAACACGGGGAAACGGCTTCGTGTTACATCAATATTGATGTTTTTGAAGCGTCCCTCTCATCAGACGACTTGTAAGCATCTCCTCCAACGCTTCCCGGCTCCGAGACGAGCTGCTGGGTGCCTCCTTATCCCGTGGTAGATGCTTTCTGCTGCCCGTTGCCAGTAAGGGGGCTTCTCCGGAGGGCGGGCGGCTCGGAGACCCTCCGGCCTGGACCCCCCGTTACCGGAGGCGGGCTGGGCTCCCCCTCCCCGGCTGCGTCCCGCTCCGAGGCCCCACCAAGGAGCCGCCAAAGCGAGCGGTCGCCAACAGGTGCAGACGTGCGAGGAAACTTTCTCTGGGTTATTACTAGGAGTTTCCGGGGGGAAGGAAGGGAGAGCCCTCGGCTGCAGAGCACAAAGCGGCGCAGGGGGGTAGAAGTGACGACCCCCCCCCAAAAAAAAAAAACCCAAA